CCCCAAAACCCCAAAACCCCAAAACCCCAAAACCCCGTTTTGCTAATAAAATTTATTTTCATTATATAAATTGAGTGAAATAATAAAATGAATATTGAGCTTGACTCTTATGAGTTTAATGATACTTTCAATGTCCTTTCTCAGCCACTCTCAACAAACAACACAGATGATAGCAAATTTATGCCATACGAGAATATGATTGAATAAAAGGCAATTCTTATTCTAAATTCAAAATTGCTAAGTCCACTAAATAAAAGTAGTGTATCTAGTCATAGAAAAACCCATAGTTGTTCGAGCTATGGAGATCGAAACAAAAGCGATAAATACTCAGGAACTTCAGAAAAAGCATATAATTATATTAGTACTGGAATATCTAGTAACATCGATTCAAGGTATGTGTTAAACAATATTATTAATCTATAGGTAATATTCAATAGATAGAGAACCTAAAACTTGAAATAAGAAGCAATAATTTAAGTCAACCATCAAAATAATGAATAAGAGTTGTGATTTTACCTCATCAAAGCCTATTCTAACCACTAATAATTCAACTAATCATAGCAAAAAAAGGAAGACTGTCCAAAATGCTCTTTAGAAATTCCAAGCAGAAATTATAGAAAATCAAAAGCATATTAAAATTTAGAGCAGCATCAAGTAGCAAGTGATTGATCAAATCGCCTAAACTAAAAAAGACATTAGAAATATATAAAAATACACATAAGCCATCAAAAATAATTAACCTAGGTATGATCGAATAATTGATAACTTTGAGAAAACAATTGTGCACAATAGGGATTAGAAGTTAACTATGAAAAAAGAGTTGAAGTAGGAATCAGATCAAATCAACAAATTATAAGCTGAATGCTAACAATATCAAAGGAATTGCAATGATTCAAGTTTGAAAATTTTAAAAGAATTAAGGAAGTTGACAGATCTCTAAAGGAATGTGAATTAGATGTAAAATGAATTAAGGATTCAGTAGAAGGAAAAGGAAAAAATCTAAATTGATGCAATAAATTAAAGAAAGATCATAAAGAACCAGGAAATCCGCTGCAATTAATTGGTACTTTTCATTATTCTTTATTCATTTAGAGGGAGATAACTGAGTTCAATTACGATAAATTTCTTAATGAGACACAGAAGTTAAATAATTGAGTATATAAATTTATATGGATTAGCGTGTAGAAATAACAGTCATAAGTATTATTATTAATTTTTTTCAGACTCTCTATTTGCACCAATTAATCACTGTGGGGTTTTGGGGTTTTGGGG